AAAAAAAAGTAAGCAGAGCAGCACCTTTTGCTACTTGGTATTCAGGTGGAATTGTTTCAGGTACAATTACGTAGAGAGACCTCGGGAGAGAGCACGACTCCACACAGGACAGGATCTGAAGGTGAAAGTGAGCTTCAAACTGGCTTGTCGCGTTTAAATGTTGTTAATGCTTCTGGGCATTAACATTTTTGCTATAGCAAACAGCACTGACAGAAGTAACAGACAGCAAGCATTAAGAGAAATGTATTGTAGGCGTGACTGAGGATGACTGCAGCCCTTTGTGTATCTGCAATTACAGCTCACAGAACATTTGTGCTGGGATTGTTACATATTGACATTAAAAACTGCCTTGTGTATCAACTACAAATTGGCAATATTTATCAGTATATCACAATTATAATTCAGTTCATTTCCCTCTCACAGCGATAATGCTTTTATCACCGACTGTCTTGAAAAGCTGAAAAATGAGTAGTACAGGGAAAATGTAGTTATTTGTTATCCGTAGGATAGCTTTAACACTTTTTAATATGATTTTACAATCCTCCCTACCCCAGTCATGCATACTTAAAACTAGTTGTAGCAGTATAGTGGTTTAAAGTTAGCATAGTTGGAATGCCTTAAATTTTACCTAAGACGTGGCTCTTTAAAAAAATACAGGTTACACGACTTAACAAGTATCAGTACTAATCAAAGTAGACAAGTGATGAAATAAAATACTGGAAATCATAGATTTTACTGTGAACTCTGAATTCTTCTTCACACAGCTTTGCAATTTCACTTGCAAGGTCAGAGTGAGTTTTCGTACATGGAACTAATTACATGTTAGGTAATCCCTACTTACTTAGGTTTTGCGTTGAACCTTTGTTATAATACCCATGGTCATCCCTAACAGTGGAATAAAGAAAACTAGAAACACTTACCAACATTAGGCAGGTGCTGGAAATAAAACATTTGGCCATTTTTGAATAAAAAAGAAGAAGCTTTGTCACTTGTCTGTGCCCCTGCTTCTAACAGGTGGTCATTTATCAGCTGCAGTATCTGTTGCAACAAGTGAAATTTCAAACAAGCACAGTACCTTTGGACTGTGCTCCTCATTGCCAACTGTGAAAAACAACTCCCCCCAAAAGTTCCAAATATTTTTACGATATATATATATAATTTTTTCCCTGAAACATTACTCTTTTACTGCAATACACAACTAAAAATGTAATTTTCCCTTGCTACAAATACACGTGAGGCATGTTGCATTTATCAAAGTGACCAGGTCTCCAAAAAAGTAAATGTGAGCCAAACACTGTATTTGTGTCTGTCAATGTGGGACATGTCAGAAATGACAGGGGGTGGACAGTTTGGTGTCCAAATTAAAAAATAAAAGATATATATAAATGTGCCAGTATACCAGATTTGTATTTAGCATGTAAAGGTCAAATAAATGATGGTCAACTCCTTTGCTAAGTAGGGGTAAAGTGAATTTGTTCTTGTGGTCTCATTTGATACTCTTTATATACCCCTCTATTTTTTTTCTAGTTGCTTAACTGTCTGGGAACCATCATTGGACTTCAATATGCATCCATAGACTATCAGTGTACTTCTTTTCTTGGTCTCATCCTCCCCACTTGCTGTTTAAACCAGTGTTCTGTGTTTCCCCTTTAATTTCCCAGTTTGGTGTCTTTGTTTCATATTTTCTGTAAGCTCCAGCAGTAAAGCTGTGTTTTTTTAGTTTAGTTCTGCTTCTGAGTCTTGCATTTGGATCCACATTCTACAAAGCAGGACACTGTTGACAGTGCAGTTACATCAGATCACCCTATGCATTTTGCATATGAATGCATCAGTACAAAGCAATAGTAATGGTCTTATGACACTATGGCATGCTACAAGTATAGGCGCTTGAAGAAATACTGGTCTGTCTGCTTGTTTGTGGAGGCTTATCTCAGGTCTACACAGAGACTGACCCCTGCTTGCTCCTCCTCTCTTGACTGCAGCTCTACTGTGTAGGAGGAACAAACTTGAGCTCCACTCTGAACACCACAGGAATTTGATCTGAATGAAGCCTGGTGTGGGGGAGACTGTGTAACCACAGCGAAACACTCATTATCTCTATAAACTGTTGATAAAAGTAAAGCAGCAGAAACACTGGCCCTACGTCATTTAAAATACGTCCAGTTCGGAAACACTCTACTGGCTTGACCTTGTTTATGAAAGCATTTTGAAGGCAGGATATATGGGCCTGCAACAGGAAAGGTGAGAAAAATGTCAGGAAGACTTTTGGTGGGAGTCATGGGCGTGGACATAATGAAAGTGCTTACCGCTTTAACGCTTTACCAGCAAATGCAAAACAGACACAGCAAAATACCATGTGATTTTATTATATTAAAAAAAAGGTTAATTATCGTTGTGCTCAGGCTTCTGTGTGTTTACAGAATTTAGAGTCTAAGCGAGCCTGTGTGGAAGAAACCTATTGTACTTTTGGTTATTCAGCCGGTCTCCCTATTTCTGACTACTTTTTCCCTACAGTATCCTGGTAAGATTAGTCATAACAGATGTTTTTACATTCTAAAATAACCAACTTTTTGCTTTTGCTGAGTTGTGCAGTTTGGAGAAACCGAAAATGTGAACTTTCTCTGAAATATTTTCAGCCATTTTTCTCACTTCCGATTAAATTCACCCAGTGTCTTTTCTGTCATTAAAACATGTCTTCATCCAGTTAGCTCTTCTAGTCTGAACACATCAATTGCAAAATGATGACGAAGAAATCTCCTTGTTTGTTTGCCAGGATTCCACCCAAATGCTGCAGGGCTGAGACCAAATGTTTTGAGAAGCAAAGTTTTAAAGGTACCGAGTGCTAGCACTAATTGAACAGCTCACTTTGCAACAGTGACACACATGTCCCCGAGGTAAGAAAGTTCTTCAATCCACCTAAAACACCTACCACACCCAGCTTTCATCACCCTTTGGATGAGTGCCAAATGAGGCATTCACGTCATGTGTAGGAGAGAAGTATTCAGGTGAAACTAGGTGCTTAAGAGGATTGAATCACTAATACTAGTGTATTATTACTAACAACTACGTGTTTGGGAGTGTGTGCTGGACAAACTGAAGAATGTGAGGTGTCATAATCAAAAATGTTCCTCAAAAACTGTCACATGTGTCTGCTTAAAAAGTTGAACTGGCCTTTGTTCATAAGGACTTTTAAATTAAACAATTATTTGGTCATTATCTAAGATAGAACCTTTATTAGCAGGTATTAGCACCCTCAGACTTTTTATGATGTTTTTTGTCATAAATCATGACACAATCGAAACCATCCACCTCTGTGTTGTGTTTTTAAATGCTCACCAAGAAAGGTATTACATAAATTTTAGTCTTAATTAAAAGAAAGAAAGAAAGATTTTTGTAATTTTTGTTTTGTAATTCCAGTATTATCAGAAACATGTCTGATTTATTCGTTAATGCAAAATAAGTAATCAGATTAAATTCCCATTGTACTGTCGCAACACGCCTTGACCATTCAGGATAAACCTTGCGTGTAGCCTGGCAACCAAACTGTGAGTGTGCCAACAGCTAGTCGAGCTGGGAACCTAGAAACTAGCGGTGCACTCTTTAGGAATTTCACGGGCACTGGTAAAGTTTTTCATATAAGTGGGAAAGCACGTTAGCCAAAAGGACTGTGATACATTTTTAGGTGCACAAAAAAGGAAAGAAAATAAAAAAAGAATGTAGTGTGGAAGTGGAAATGTAAAATTGCAGTTTTAGATGGTCAAACGTGAATAGTTTGGATTCACGCGGTCCATTTTGGAGACTTTCATATTGTTTTTCATAACAAACAATGGGCTGCTCGGAGATATTACAGACCAGAACAAAATGGACATAGGACTCCACCTTTCTCCGCCTGCTATCAGCAGTCATGAGTAACCTGAGTGGGGGGGGGAGGAACCGCCCAGCGCTGTAAAACTTCGTCCTACCCCTCGGACGGTCAAAGTGTAAACGCAGTTAACAATAGGCTGCAGATGCAGTCAAACTGAAGCCGAACTCTTACTCGAGGATTGACAACGTTTTGTTTTATTTCTACACGCGATGGGATCACTACTGAAAAGCAGCATTTTTATTCTCCTGGCGTTCTTTCAAGCTGTAAGTAACACATTCAGTACGCGCAATGTATTGCTACGCATTTAGTGTCAAATGGAGAAAAGCGGATCTATACAGGTGTGGCTCTGGCTTGTGGTGTGTATGTGAGCGCTAAAGATGCCGAAGATGATATGTCCTTAATCTTCCTGTTAAAAAAGAGAAAGAAAAAAAAGAGAAGCGTTTTCATCACTTTTATCACTTTTATTCGAAGGTCACAGGACAGTTCATTTGGTTTATTTCGCCATACGGGACGTGGGAGGAAAGTTTCGGGGAACAAAGTCTTAATCAGGTCCACTTGTAAGGCAGACGTAATGATTACATTATTAGATATTCTGCTACATCATAACACAGTGGGAATAATGTGCAGCAAGTGGGGTGGACTTCACATTAGATAGATAGATAGATAGATAGATAGATAGATAGATAGATAGATAGATTTGTATAATAATGTGCCTTTTCCTCGCTTTTTGTTCATTTGCAGCTTGTTCCTGTGGGAGCAGAAGGAAATGGACGACTGCTGCACAGGCAGAAGAGACACTGGATCGCACCGCCCCGAAAGCTAATTGAGAACTATGATTACACCGGCCTTGATTGCGTTGCTAGAGTGTGTATTTATTTTCTGAAGAATTCCATTGTAAAATTAATGTTTTTCATCTTACAAATATAAATATACATATTTATATGTATATTATTTTCCACAGTCATACAAATATTTTTTTTATGCTGGCAAAGCAACAGTTTAATGCGTTTTAATGTATTTTACTGTGTGAAACAAATCATTTTCAAGAGCTGCATGTCCTTCAGCCACCTTTGCTTTTCACTTACTTGCCTTTAACAAGCATATGTGAGAGTTGCTTCAGAGGCAGACACTGGCAGACTGCCATGTTCATAATGAGTCAGTTCAGACACAGAGACAAATGACAGATACTGCTTTGTGTGCTTTTTTTTTTTACACAACCCTGTTTATTGTTCTAAAGTGTATTAATCTTCATAACTCACCTACTAATGTTAAGTAACGGCAGAGTTTAACTGATGTATGCACAGATGGTCTCAAAGCAGTCTGAATGAGAACCTGCAATATTTGTCATGCTTATATTTATCATAAATATATTCTACTATAATTATGATTTTAAAAATACAACTTTTTAAATATATGGTATAATATGTTCAGTAAATGTTTTCTTACATTGTTAACTGAAGGTTTTGGCCTTCCAGATGGATTCATTCTGTTTGTGTATCTGAATTTCAGATTCGCTCTGATAAGGAGGAGTATGCGAAGATGCTCTACTATATAACAGGGCCTGGCGCTGACCAGGACCCTATTGGTAGATTTCGTATTGACCATAGCACCGGCTGTTTGAGAGTCTATTCCATTCTGGATCGAGAGGAGATTGCCTTCTATCGTGTAAGAGTCAAATCCTCTTTATAAAGAGCCATGAGCTACAAAGTGAATCAGTTTTTAATACAGTTGTGCTTTATAGTTAAGAGGTGTGGCAAGATACACCAATGGGACCCAGGCTGAAAACTACATTGACCTTAATATCACCGTTGATGATGAGAATGACAACGCGCCAGTCATTCAATTACAGCAATTTGGATATGTCAATGAATCTAGTCGATCAGGTATGTTAAGATTTGTTTGTGTCTTTTTTTATTTGATGGATCACAAAAACAATCCTGTCCTTAACTGAATTCATTTACCGGAGTTGCTATTTTTCATTTACCTTCGATTTCCTAGGTGTTGTTATCATGAAAATAATCGCTACTGATGCCGATGATGAGAGAACAGAGAATGCCCAGCTCTCATACAGCATTGTTGAGCAGGCTAACACAGCTGGGTTGTTCTGGATGAACTCTCGCACTGGAGAGCTCATGGTTCAAAGTACCTCACTGGATCGGGAGGTGAGCTCATTTATGACCTTTTAGGTATTGTGAAAATCATCTTGCGCCTCTACAATTGCGCCTCTATTTAATGGAAAAGCTTGCAACTCACAAGACTGTAGTCAAATCAGTAACAGTATGTAGATTTTGTCACAGCCCCCAAGTTCATCGTTATAGTACGACCTCATATTATAAACGTAATTTGTAAGAAATTAGTCAAATTTTATTCACCACACTGCATGTACATATTCCAACATATTCATCTGTGAAATAATCATTTCTAACTTTTGTTTTTAGAAACAAGATACATATAAGTTAATGATTAAAGTCTGTGATTTAAATGGACGCCCAGGAGGACGAACGTCAACTGGAGAAGTCGAGATCCGACTTCTCGACATAAATGACAACATTCCAACGCTGGAAAAAGAAATAGTAGGTCTTCCACCTTTACCACATCCAGCCCATCTATTCTTGTGTAAAGGTTTTCTTGTTTTTTGTTTTCATAGTGGTCAACAGTAAGCTTTTTTCAAAAACAGTTGTTGTTCATGTGTACTTTATTTGCAGTATGAAGGGCGTATTGAAGAGAACACTGTCGGTGTGGAAGTTATGAGGATAAAAGCCATTGATATGGACCTAATTCACACAGACAACTGGCTGGCTGCTTTCCAAATTGTTTCAGGCAATGAGGGAGGTTATTTCGATATCACTACGGATGAAAAAACCAATGAGGGAATTATCATGGTTCGGAAGGTAAAGAGTGCTGTGTAAATTAGAGGTAAAAGGAAAAATGTGTTTCGACCAGCAGAGTCAAAATTCATGGATTACCCTTTTATATACAGGCTCTCGACTATGAGGAACTGAAGGTGATGAACTTGCGTGTCATGGTTTCCAACAAAGCAGCGTATAATTTTGGCAGCAGTCAGTCTGCGACAGGGGCAACAGGTATCAAAACCTACCCAGTCACAATTAATGTGGTCAATCAGAAGGAGGGACCTCGTTTCCAACCAAGTGTAAAAGTGGTGACTGTCTCAGAGGAGTACACATCCACCTCCCTCAGCAAAATCATAACTAATTACGCTGCTATTGACACTGACACACAAAAGATTGCCACCAACGTGAGGTACAGTTAAACTGAAAGTGTCGCCTGCGCATATATCAACCGATTCTTACACTGAATATGAAAAGTTTATTTTTGTTCTTACATTAATTTACGTGTGTTCTTCAAGGTATGCCAAACACCGTGACATTGACAACTGGTTGATTATCGATGAAAAGACAGCAGACATCAGGCTGAGTAAACTCCCTGACCGAGAGTCCGTGCACTTGATCAATGGAACATATTACGCAGAAATTATATGCATCAGCAATGGTGAGTTCTGTTAACACGGCAGCAAACATCAGTCTAATCAGGAGTAATATCGTACCCAACAGATTAATATTGATCTTACATTCCACTGGCTTTCAGATCTGCCCTCAAAAACTGCTACGGGGACCATAGCTATTCAGGTGGAGGACTTCAATGATCACTGCCCAAGACTGACCTCCAAAACTCAGACCATGTGCCTTCAGGATAGCGTGATCTATGTCACTGCTGTAGATGAAGACCACTTCCCCAATTCATCACCATTTGAATTTACTGTGGTTGAAGAGAGCACCACAGGGAAGTGGAGAGTGGAGCATTTTAATGGTAATGCCATGTAAACAATCACTGTACGGCAAAATCCAGCAAACGCTTGTTAGATCAACCGTCTGAGCTTCCTTTGAGAGTAAAGGCATTTATGGACAAATTGTATATTGTGTTTTAGAAAAAAAATTGTTTCTTTCTATTTTTTTAAGCATTTATTTTGAGTGTTATCCATGTGCACTTCCTTACACGTTGCAAGACAAAAAGTAAACACTTTGTGCAGTATTTTTTTCTTAATTTACTCATTTCTTTCTTCAGAAACTACAGTCATTCTGCGAGAAGAAAACTATGTGTGGCCTGGCGTCCACAAAGTGACACTGAAGATCACAGACCAGCAGGGAAAGTCATGTGCTGATGCTCAGATAATAGATTTGACTGTATGTACCTGCAATAAAAACACCAAATCCTGTGTGTCGCGCTCTACGTCGACTGCAACTTTTGGAGCTGCGGGTATTCTGCTGATGTTGCTGGGACTGCTGCTGCTGCTCTGTGAGTAGAGCCCTTGTCCTTGTTTGAGGATTTTACTCTTCCTATTTTATGGGGGGGGGGTGTTCTCCATGCTTTCACTTAAAAGGTTGCCTAATCATACATGTTGTAGCAGGCCTAGTGAGACTGACTAATGTGAGTAGTTGTGTCACGCACAGATGCCGGTTTTTTCATAAATACATTCCTTTCCTGTTAAATCTGTTTATTCAGTTAAAGTAATTCATTGATTATTGGACTTAATTTGATCTAATCAGTCGAGCCTATTTTGATCTAGTGGGAAATGTGCCTGTTTTTCAGTGGTGCCTCTCCTGTTGCTCGTCTGCCTGTGTGGGAGTACAGCGGCTATCGGCGATTTCAAGTCTATTCCATACGACACAAAGCAACAGCTGATCTCATATCACACTGAGGGACAGGGAGAAGACAAGGTATTACTGTAGTTTTGATGTGTGCAGGCACCTTCAACTCTGAACGTTTGATAATCAAATTTATCTGACTGGATCCCACACTTCTCTTGCAGGAGGTTCCTCTTATGCATGTCCCAGTGGAGGTTGATGGTGGTGCAGTGACTAAGGATGTCAACATGTTTGAGGGACATGGATACTTTGGAGGGCTGGCTGAGTTAGGAGGAGGAGCAGGTGGAAGAGGGCCCTATAAAGGCAGTGCTATATACACATCCAATATGACAGCTGACAACATGAACCTGTACAACCAGTACAAATACTCCAGTGGACAGAACATGGACTTCCTGAATACAGGAACGATGGCCAGACAAGATATGAATTTCTCTCAATACAGAGGTGGGGCATGGGATGGCATAGCTCTAGCTGAGGAATTTCTATGGGACTACTATTCAAGAGTAAGTGATCCCTAAGTTAAGTTGAAATTGCAGTCTTTCAGGTCAGATAAAGACATTATGTCTGAAGCTGTAATATATTCTTTTTCATCCCCACTTCTTTGCAGAAATCCGATCATGCTGCACAGCAACCTCAGGTGAAGGACAGTATGCTGATCTACAACTATGAGGGACAAGAGTCGCTGGCAGGTTCTGTAGGCTGCTGCAGCCTTCTTGAAAATGATGATGATCTTGCATTCCTTAATGACCTCGGGCCTAAATTCAAAACCCTGGCTGAGATTTGCCAGGGATCAACCATGGTCACTGAATCTGTAGATGTGGCAGTTTCTTCCACTCCAGTCAGACCCGTCTCTCCTTTCAGGCCTTCCACATCCACACACACACATGTCCGTAGTCACACGGAAACCATCAGGGACAGGGATCGCGTCAATATTAACACCCTAAATACCTCCAATGTATCATCCGGCTCTTCTACCGTTATCCAGGAGGAACGTATCACTGGGAGAGCACAGAGTTCAGCAACTCTTCCCAATGTACACGTCCAGGACAACATAGTGATTCCCAGTCAGACACTGCTCATACAGCAACCTGCTATGTACTATGCTGCTACGCCCATGTACGTAGTCGAGTCCAAGCCCCAAGTAATGCTTGTGGCAGGAGGCACGCAGCAGGCAGTGGGTTCAGTAGGCCAAGCTGGGCTAGGTCATGGGCTGGTGCAAGTCGGTGGCCTCCAAAGTTCCCAGGGTGTGGTACTTGTCGATAGACAGGGAGGAATGGGTGAAGCAACAGGGCAGGCAGCACAAGGACTTTCACGAGGAACCATCTCCAGGTCTAGACAACTATTAGTGGTGGGGAATGGATCCTCAGGAGGGGAGCAAGGTGTGCATTTAGCGCAGGGCGTTGTGCAGACTGGACAAAGGTCTGCAGAGCAGGGCTTTGAAGTCCGAAGTGTGCCAGTGAAAGCTCAGGGTTTTTCAGTGGAGTCGCACAGTTCTCTAGGGTCAAATGAGGAAGCTAAGCTGACAGTCACACCCAAGTCACATGGGACCAAGAGAGTGGTTGTGCAGCAGAAAAAGGTCTTGGTGACAGAGAGAAATTTGGAGTCTAGTTCAAGAGCTTAGAGCAACCATTTTCTGTAGCCTCGCTACAAATATTACTCCTGTTTTGACATGTAATGATATACTGACTGGACTGGAATGTACTACAGTACATCAACATGCTGTATTTCTATTAATGCAGATTATTAATTGCGTTATAAACTGGAGTTTGGTCTGCTTGATTTAAAGTCTTATACTGTAGGTTCTCATCCACCGACCTGAGAAGTTAGTATGTAATACAGACTGTAAGGTGCACTTAGCCATCAGAGGCTGGAATTTCAAACTGAAACTGGTTAAAATAACATCTCCTCTTTTTCTATACCAAGCTTGTATTTGTTTTGAATGGTATGTCAAAATTCAGTTCTGTCAACAGCAGGGGAATACAATACAGTGTTGACTATAGAGAGGAAAAAAAGGGTAACATTTCTACACAGTCTTACATGACTTGTGTTATTAGAACCCAACCGAGGGGAAAAAAACAAAACATTGAGTGCACTTAACAGACCTATATGTGCTACATTTTTTCAGGTACAAAACTAATATGGCTTCGGGGCAGTAAAACAACTAGTCCTAAACCAGTTTTACGCAAACTTTACTTTCTCTTTTTAAAGGACACAAAGTAAAAACAAGTCTACACCCTTACCTTGGGCAGCAATAGCTGTCAGATCATTGCATCTCCTGTCTATCCAGCCTGCCAAGCTGCTATAAGAGCAGGAACTGCTGCACTGTTTTTAAGTGGTTACGGTACTGAATTAGTCAATAGCCAGAAATCACATGCATGAACTTGATATTCAATTAAAGCGCAACAGATGGGTCTAAACAGATACATCCACACTCCAAAAAAAACACAACGTGAGCGCTATAAATCATAGTAAAGACTTTTTGCAATGAAAATTCCCACACAAGAGTGTTCTCTGCTTAGCGATAATTTTTTAACATATAATGTACATATAATTAGTCTTCAAACGAACACGGTTTTTCGCAGAGGGAGAGGCTGTAGATTTTTCATTTATCTTTAAAGGCTGTCAATATTAGATTTATTGCACAGACTGATGTATTATTTTAGTGTGTTGTGATTTTTAAGGTGCTTAATTTGTACATTGGTATATTTGTTTAGCCATGACTAAAGTTGTCGTGCTAACTGTTAGATCGTTCGCCTACTTCATAATGTGTTCAGAAGCTGTACAGAAACTAGATAAATACTGAGTGTGCTCAAATAACACATCCTCTATTTGAATTGTTGCACTATTTTTATATTTTTCCTGAAAGTATGCATTTTTTATATATATATATATATAAGTATTAATTCCATGAGATCTAAGTGCCAAAGCTGAAGAAATGTGTTTTGTGGGATCATTACCAGATTGATTTTGTGTGTGTGTGGCTGTGTGTGTGTGTGTGTGTAATGGGATGGGATGAGCTTGCCAGTTTAATGCTGCTGTTGTTGCTACTGACCTGTATTTTTAAACCTGCTTTCTAAAATGCTGTAAGAACATAGCAGTGCAGTGCTAATCCACGGGGATAATGAAGATGTTTTTATTTTAAGGGGTTTTTCAACTTGTATCACAATAAACTCAAACAGAAAAGAATCTGCTTGACACGTTTTACTTTCTGATTTCACACATGACACGATTTATCGTACATCTTTGAGTTAAAAAAAAGTTAAGAACTATGTTTCAGAAATTACTTGCATATCACCCTAACTGTTCTTTTTACAACATTATAAGCTTTTGGATGTCATGTGATATGCAAAATTATACTATTTGCCAGATAGAATGAAAATGAGCATTAATTGGTATTTCATTGTTATTGTTAAGTTATTTATATAAACATATTTGTAATATATTTTATTATATATTTCATATATAAACAATTTAGTTTCAGATTCTTTGGTTACATTTGAAAACGTTTATACAATAGTAAACATAAATGGAAAAAATAGTCCTTATTTGAATCTGACCATAAGCTGATATATATTTCTACATAGTTTGTTAATTGAAAGAGACAGTGTATGTAAAGCAATTCTTCAAAGTTAAAAACTTTTTTTCCCCAATAATGTGTTTTAAGCATATGGCTTGGTGATCACCAACAAATTAACTGCATATTTGCATGTCAACTAAAACATGCCACAGGTAGAGACTTTAAAATGTAAGCATTAGTTTCAGGGTTTTCCAACCCGACAGGAGTGTTTCTGCATAGAAGGGATACAACAGGTTTCTCTGTGGTTGACTGACAAAGGTTCATTCATGCTTCACATAAACAGAGGAGAAAGTAAAGTAGAAACTCAGGTTTCAGTTACTGATAATGCAGGAACAGCGCTTTCCTTTTTTTGTGTCTTTTTTTCCCTTGGAGAAACAAAGTAAGCATTATATGCTCGCTATCTGTGAAGTGCACAAAGTAAGAGGGTGTTCTACCTTTAGCTCAGATTTCAGATAGCAGTCTGTCCGCATAGGGTGCCTGGGTGTTAATGCTTGACCGACTGAGCTAGTGTGTGGTATGGAAACAAACAAACAGTAGTTACAACTTCAAATGTGTCATTAAATGTCAGGAATAGTAATCAAATTAAGAAAACAGTACTGTTCAATAACTTCAAGTGCTAGAGAATACATTAGCATCACAGAGGCTGCTCAGCTGCGCAGGGGACAGATCACAGCCTGTCAAGTATGTGTATTTGAGAAGCCGAGGCTCAGTTTATCCATATTGAATGTGGGGAAGCATTGTTTCGAGCTCTCAGAGGGTTCGTGACGTATGGCCTTTTTGATGTGGAAGAAGGCAGCTCTTGTTGCCACTGAAATTCAAAATTGGCATTAACGTTATAATCATTAAACATGTTTTTTTAAATTATCGGGGTTGTTTTGTTTACTTCCCAAAATAAAATGTAGTTGTGATACATAGTTTAATCAACAGTTCCAACCGTCTTTTTTAAACCCATTTAATGTTTTGTTTCTGGCGACAATGTATTGCTTTGTTTCTTTGCTCCTCTGTGGACAGAAGTGGATCACTTGCAAAGTTTTTCTTTTCAAACCTCAGTCTGAGCTGTCAACATACAAAGCATTAAAGTAGACACAGCTCTGAGCAACTTTGCTAATCAACTTTTCTTCTTTTGTGACATACAAGAAAAAGGTGGCTCAATTTATGACCTGTAATTTGTAATTTGGCCCCATGTAAGGTAATCTGACTAAAAGCTTGTAACGAGCCAGATCTGTTTCTCAGTCATAAAAACAACTTCCTTGTTTTCTTTCCTTTGGGATAACTGGTTCAGAGTAGTATTCTGTGTTATTCCCTGGATGATTTACCCAAAATAAAATTTTTATGTATTGACTGTCTGTCTGTCTCCTTTTTTTCTCTCTCTCTCTCCAATGGAAAATTTTGGATTCACAGTTCAGACTAGGGTGTGTCAAGAAGCATAAAATATTTTAAAAGTTTAAAAAACTTTTAAAACTTTTGAAAGGTGTGTGTGTGAAAGTCACAACCCTGACATGTTCCTTTGATATTACGCATTATAGTGTGAGATTATCAGCGGTCACTGTGTGCTTTGAAATTATTTTTTAACCTTTCCTTTGTGCACTGTACAGGCTGTTTATTCGCTGTTGCTGGGAACCTTCCTACTTGGGCTGGGCTTCTTTGTCGTTGATTGGATGGGTGGCAATCTGATACCTGCTTGCAAAACAAGGCAATAGATCAAGATGTCATGAGCTATGTGGGTTGTACATATTTCGACGTAGCTTTTGCACATTATGTACCTTTGAAAAAAGAAACCTGACAAGACGTACAGACTGGATCTTTTATTAGAGACATGAGGAAAAGAATGCACATTTGAGTTATTGTTACAAAACTGTACTTGCTTGTTGACACTGACATAGCATGACTTGGATAACTTTAGATTCTAACACCATTCACTGTCGTTGTCAGTAAAGGCTATATTTATATTCAGCGCAATATAGGCTAAACAACTATAGTTGACCATAATCTGCACACCACAACATTTATTGAAATCAGCATCCCTAGCGTACATCTTGTGGTCTCATTGCACTCCAACAGCTGTTATTATTAGGAACTGGCTCGTTGTGTTTTAGAATTCAGTGGTGAACATCATGGCGGACTTCTTCATCATCCTCCATTTCATCTTCTTCGTATTCACCCATTTCATCAGCGGTGGCATCCTGGTACTGCTGATACTCAGACACAAGGTCATTCATGTTGCTCTCAGCCTCAGTGAACTCCATCTCATCCATTCCCTCCCCTGTGTACCAGTGGAGGAAAGCCTTGCGGCGGAACATGGCGGTGAACTGCTCTGAGATCCTCCTGAACAGCTCCTGGATGGCGGTGCTGTTGCCAATGAAGGTGGCGGACATCTTGAGGCCACGGGGCGGAATGTCGCAAACTGCAGTCTTGACATTATTTGGAATCCATTCCACAAAGTAGCTGCTGTTTTTGTTTTGCACACTCAGCATCTGCTCATCCACTTCTTTCATTGACATACGGCCACGGAAGATGGCTGCCACGGTGAGGTAGCGTCCGTGACGGGGGTCACACGCTGCCATCATGTTCTTGGCATCGAACATTTGCTGTGTGAGCTCTGGCACGGAGAGGGCACGATACTGCTGACTGCCCCTGCTTGTCAGAGGTGCAAAGCCCGGCATGAAGAAATGCAAGCGGGGGAAGGGCACCATGTTGACAGCTAGCTTACGGAGGTCAGCGTTGAGCTGTCCAGGGAAGCGGAGACACGTTGTCACACCACTCATGGTGGCTGATACCAGGTGGTTAAGATCTCCATAGGTGGGTGTGGTTAGCTTTAAAGTGCGGAAGCAGATATCATACAAAGCTTCGTTATCAATGCTAAAGGTCTCATCTGTATTTTCCACTAGCTGGTGTACAGAGAGAGTGGCATTGTAGGGCTCCACCACAGTGTCAGACACTTTCGGGGAAGGCATGACACTGAAGGTGTTCATAATGCGATCAGGATACTCCTCACGGATTTTGCTGATGAGCAGTGTGCCCATTCCTGAACCTGTGCCTCCACCCAGGGAGTGGGTGAGCTGAAAGCCCTGAAGGCAGTCGCAGTTTTCGGACTCCTTTCTCACCACATCTAGCACAGAGTCCACCAGCTCAGCTCCTTCGGTGTAGTGACCTTTAGCCCAGTTATTTCCTGCTCCACTTTGACCTGCATGAAATAATTTTTAAAGACAATTGATGTTGAAAAATATTGTTTTAGTTAACACATCTATACACATAAAGGTTTTACATTTGTGACCAAAGAATGAATTGACTGACACGAAGTCTTGCACAGACAATAGTGATACGCAATGGATCATAATAAATTAGTGATTATTTAACTTTTTATCTGGCATCAAGATGAAGTTGATAGTTTTGATATGTCTTGTCAGTTGTTGGATACAAAATATGTTACAGTTATTCATAATTATAGCCCAACAATTTATCGATACGTTGATACTATCAGCTGATATTTTCTATTTGCCAGTCTATCGGTATCAGCATTAATAAAAGAGACAGGAGAAACACCCTTCAACCATGTTATGAGTGTTGTGGCTGCATAGTTTGTCCACCAGAGGGCACTCTTCAACTTCCCTGTACGCAGTAGATATTCACAGCACTACAAAGATCATAGAATATCGGTATCTATATTGGTCTTGAAAATCATCGACTGGATGGTTCGCCATGAAATTAAGACCAGTGGTCAACACCTGCCATAATTTTGTCAAACGTTGCCAAATGAAACTGGCAAGATAATAAAGGTTCCCACTTGTCTGATATGTATCGACAAGCTAAGAAAACAGCAGCTGTTGTGAAATTTTAGATCTTCTAAGTAACAACATCAGCATTGCCATCTTAATAATATTTCCATGTGTGCACTACCAGTTCACTCAAAACAAAAGTGAGCCTTGGTGTAGTTTTACAAAACTTCTTAGAAAGCTGATTAAAACTTGGCAACCAATTTGTAATTCAAAATAACTTATTTCTCTGGAAAGCATCAGTAAGTGATTTATCTGCCATTTTCAACTTGTTAGCACTTGTTATCCCGTGACAAAATAGATTGTCATCTTTGGATAAATGTTTTTGGCCCTCATATTATTATTTGCTTTGTGTTCTGCTGCAGAATCTCCACATAGACTGTATTTTTGCTAAGTCACCACAAGAGCTGTCTCAGTCGACACATGGGCAATGCATCACCGAGGGACTGCAGGAGCTGTGTGCTCAGAATATATAGTACTGTGCAGTGCAGTGGAAACGAAGTGCAGCTTCATTGTCTGTGACAGTAGGTCAGACACATGCTGCACACATGCACGGATGACTCACACATGTGGAGTCGGTTCAGGATGAATGGTCTGATCCAGATTTATTGTCAACTCACCGAAAACAAAGTTGTCAGGCCTGAATAGCTGCCCAAATGGACCAGAGCGAACTGAATCCATGGTTCCTGGTTCCAGGTCCACCAGAATGGCTCGGGGCACAAATTTGCTGCCTTTGAATACGAGGACAGGGAGGGATGTGGAGGGGTAATGGATGGAAATATCAACAGTCTCAGTAACCTCAGCAACACCGGCAGTAAACCATGAAGAAAAACCTCAGCATATTTCAAAGATTCGCAAGCAGCATTTCCTTAAAGATACAAGCCTCTCAATTAAGCTGGGAATTCAAAGCGTCTTCTGTTCTTTTCTTGCTTTTTGCCTTGCCCCACCCTTTCTGCCTGTCACCCTTCTTGCAAAACTGCTGCAGCGTGCTGCACAGCTTAATCTAAACCAGTGGGGTTTTCAAAGTGCTGAGTCTTGCAGGATGTATTCAGACACAGAAGCAGTCTTCCTTGACTTTGCCTCGTTTCACTTTCTTGCTCAGTGCTGAAGTTTTAATGTTGCTTATGAATCTGCACTTTTTATTTTAAGGACAATTTGTTTTGTTCAGTCTGCATTAGGTAGTTACCCCCCGTGACACTGAAGCCGGCATGCAACATGGAAACAAAGAATCAATAATGCATGCTGCTGGGAAATAGGATATGGGTAGATTGTTGTCCTTTATTGCCAATGCAGATGAGTAAAAGGTTGGATATCAACCCTGGGTGCATGTGGATTGAGATGTTGACCAAAAACATGAGGCCTAATGATGAAACACATATACTAATTCTTTATTATCCCTGCGCCTTTATTTACCAGGCACTGATTGGCTGCTTGATGTACGACAGCTGTGAGCAACAAAGCAGGTTGTATTTAGAAGGACCTGCAACACAGGCACCAGTAAAATCAGATACTGAGCATGAGTTCAGCTATACTGAGACTGCAGATACCTGTGCTCCCTATAGAGAGACAGAGGGGGAGGGGTGAGACAAGACACAGAAAAAGAGATTTTTTAGCAGGTGCACTGTCCTCATTTGTGTCCCTTCACTCATAGCAGAACCTAGTTTCCACTGCAGCTAAATTAGTGACATGAGCAAACTGTGACAGTCAAATGAGGTCTGTGTAGCATAAGGCCATGCAAGAATAATGATCAGTGGTTAAAAAAAGCTGCTTTGTGTATAGTGGAAAATTCAAGCATGTGGTTTATATTAAAGCAACATTTTCCTTCTCACCTGATGCCTCATTGTAGTAGACATTTATCCTCTCCAACTGCAGCTCACTGTCACCTTGGTAACTACCGGTTGGATCGATGCCATGTTCATCACTTATCACCTCCCAGAACTAAGACAAAGCCATTACTATTCATTAGCATTTAAAAAAAAATTAATTTACTTATTTTTTTTAGAGTAACACAGCAAAAACGAAAACATGAAGCAAGTTTGACGTGTGTGCGTCAGGCCTTGTTTTAGTTTTTGCGCATCTGGTGGCACAATGACGCGCAGCAGCGCAGGCCACATCACCTGAAAGATCAACCAGACTGAACCGCTCCATATAGGTATGTTAATCCGTGATTGATCGATATTAAACTCTTAAAGACAGATTTGTAATCACTTCGATTTAAATGTGCCGAACTAACCGCGCTTTGTAAACTATTAAGGCACACAAACGCGGTGACGTTCCACATTTAAATGAAAATTACTCCTTTAGATCGCTTCTTCAGAGATTAAATGAAGATATTTATACCTTGGCCCCAATCTGATTTCCGCACTGACCAGCCTGGATGTGAACGATTTCCCTCATGGTGAACTGCGGGTGCGTGCAGGCAGCGTCCTTTCTCGACTTTAACTGGCGTCCACTCTTCAGTGTCTTGCCGCGGTGTTTCTCAAAATCAGGACTTGCCTCATTTCTCGGGTGAGTGTTGAGCCGGCGAGATAGATAAACGTGCTGCTGGTCAGATGACGTTATACACAACGCAGCATCCTCAGCATCCCTGTTAGCCAATGGGAGCGCCCCGGTTTGATGCAGTGGACCAGCGGATCATGCCGCATCATGGCCCTGACATCACCCTGTCCCATACAGGCAAGCATAAAAAAAAGGGCTGCTTTCTCACTCGAATGGGGATGTTTTAAAAGATCCACATAATTAATTTCGCTATTAGAAGATGTCAGACCAGTTTAATGCTCCAGACTGCAGCTGCTGATTCATCCCAGTCGTCTTTTAAGCAGCTACCTGTAGAAACGAGCCCAGTTTTTAAGGCTTTTGTGGGTTTTAAGGCTTAGCTAAGGCTAGTAGCGAACCTTTCCTTAGAAGGCACAGATTCTCCAGCTAGTTGTGCCACTGTATGTGGAAAGGAAAATATCTTAACATTCAGGAAACGTGAGGAGTTATAAATCCTACTTTCTGATGCCATTGATTGCGAAATGTCTCAGCTTGTCTATAACGACTTGAAGCCTAAGGGCTTCGAGTCATAATAGACTGCATTCAAGTTCGCCCATTCCCCCCTTCTTCATCTTCTTTGAATGCCATTATTAGAATACTTGAATAGACTTTAACTTTAAAATGATTTTTTTAAAAGACACAGAGAAGTCATAAATGTCATAAAAACACATCAATATCAACAGCTGATCAATAAATAGTGGTTTATTTTAACAACAGGTATGGCTTATATACAAGTGCATGATGACTGTTAAACTGAAAACAATATGAAACCAAACAACTGGAATTTATAAATGGTACAATCCATGTTTTTGTTTTTTTTGTTATCATTTTATTTATTTATTTTACATTCATTTAAATCTCCCCTTTAAAGAGATCTTAAGTCGCATGGTTAAAAGAAGCAACACCTGAAATGTGTATACTGGGGCCGTCCTATGTGAGACTTTCATCTGCCGGGTTCAAAACAAGTCCTTGCTAAGATCCAGGATCCTTCATCTTATTTAAGCTCGATGTTTCCACACATTTACCGTATTTACAAAAGACATAATCTTCTTCTTCTTCCTCCTCTTTTTTGCTTGCTTTTCCAACAATTAAAAAATCCTATTCTATCGCTGGTGCTAACATTGCTTTGGATTACTTTCACTAAACTTTCATTTTGCTTCAAATAGAGTCAAATAAAAGGATTATTAACGAAAAGTGTAGTTACTCCCATCTGCATGGGAGAAAAGTGAGGAAGCAACATATCTCAGAAGACACTGGTTGCATCGTGCTGTGTCATTAACGTTACAGATGTCGCGTGGGATTTAGTTGATACACACTTCAATTTTTGCAATACACACTGAAATAGAGAGAGATCAACATTCACCGAGGAGGATTCCGAGTAAAATGAAGCTACTGACCACTGCAGTCCACCCACTCTCAACTGCAGATGCCAAGATTTCCTTATTAAATCTAGTGTCAACACCCTTTTCAACATTGTAGACTGCATGCTGATCTATTGCGTGCAGTCTACAACGTTGAAAAGGGTGTTGTCAACCCCAACAAAATCTGACATCACACGATTGCAGGTCATTGTGCTTTCACGTGTAGCAGCACAGCATACACAGGTTTAAATGATCTCAAGAAATATTTAAACAATATTAATGACTAGATGGTCGTCGTTCACAGCCACCCTAGATCAATCAAAAAGTGGAGCCATCGTGGTGTGATTTAAGCTGCATTTGAGTAAAACAACCACAGGTAGGCTTTCGCAATCATTCAAATAAATATCAAAGGATATGCAGGCTTTAGTCAGTGCAAAGTTGAGTTTGATAAAAGCAAAACTTAATTCTAGTGACTGAAGTAGCTGTAAGGTTTACGGAAAATCTTCCGTCAAGTCGGCTGTTGCGTTTGACTCCTGAATGACACCTTAATAGAACTCCAAATACTCCCTGGATATAAGTAATTATGATACACTGTGATCATTTTAGCACATTTGAAATGACAACACATCACTCAGTTGGCTCTAAAGTTTTACAGTACAGTGTAATTATTATTATTATTAATAATAATGATCATTATTACGAGGATTGTTGTAAACAGTGGATTATCTGTAATCACACATCCTTCCTTAGACAAATATTACAACCTCCAAAGCACAAAGTACTACAACAACTGTCAAGTTTCACACACATTTAAGTCAAGTATAATGCTGTCCGCAGACGGACATGGGCTTTGGAAGGAAAAGTGCCTCCTCAAGCAAAAGTCTATCAATTTAAGAATATCAGTCGGTTAATCTGACTGAACGGTTGTGACCTGTATTTTTAAAATGTCGTTTTGACAAATGTAAGAAGTATTGCATTTTTTTTTCCTTCTTTTAAGGTAAACTTAGTTGTGCATGTGAAAGTATGAACACCCCGACGTTAGTAAGCTCTTAATGTCGGACCACGATTCGGAAAACACAAGGTTAGTGGTGCTGCGACATTTGGCAATCGCGTCAAACATTTTCGAGTTTAGGTTCAAAAATATTTTTTTTTTAGGAAATGATTTTTTTTTTTTATCTTCTTCTTCTTTTTTTTAAGCTTTTTTGTTTGTTGCCGACACATTCACAATAAATTTTCATGCTTAGTCCCCACTTCGAAAGATAAAGTGCCACCACACCGAGGTGCCACAAATACTGTAAGAATGAAGTATAGCTCTGTACAATAAGGGCACGCCATGAGAGATTATTCAAAACAATACTTTGAATTTAAAAAAAACAAAACAATCAAGCGTAACAAGTAATTATCAATATACTTACATTAATACATTTACAAAAAAAAAATCAAAAAACATTTGCATACCATAAATTTCATTGGCTTGAATGATTGGAAAAATAAAAGTTTCTTCTGACCGACAAAATGTGGGTCATTCTTTTTCCACCAGTATCACTGCTCATATGCATCACAGATATGCTTTCTGTCAATTTTAATTCATCAAATGGTGATAAATTGTTCATTCTTCTTCTTTACTTCCTAGTTTTGGAATAGGTATCCACATATAGCCTATAGCAGGAGAGAGCACTTAACAGTATTCTCCCAAACAGGCAAATACTATATCACTAAAGTTTTGGCACTATTTCTACACTTTATTTTGGTCAGGGTAGTTTTTTGGCATTTTCTTTTTAAGAAAAAAAAAACTATTCCAATTCTGATTGCTTACCTCTATAGCAACAAAAAGCACTTTGTAACATTCAGATTTACTTGTCCATCCATATAAAGCAACCTTTTTGTACAAATATCTTGATATTACCTTTGAGCACAAGTACCAGTGATTTTTGTTTGTTTGTTTGCTATTAGTACCATTGCATTTCTTCCCCAGTGCTGATGACACGTCTCAGTAATTATGGGAATTGCTTTAAGTCTCTTAAAAATGACAGTGATTTTGTCCCCGTTCATTTACGTCAGAGTAGTTAAAACGCTGGTGATTTCCAGTGACATTCAACGAAGCGCAGAAGTTACTGTCACATTGTCACATACCAGCCTGTGGCATTCTCCCGCTTGCATGGTCTCATTAGGTGGCTAAATGCACAAAAGGGTGCAGCAGCACTGAAAAAACTAAATACAAAAATACCCAAAACAAAACAAAACCAAAAAAAAATGAAACTTTGCAAACATGTTAACTCAACTCCAGGTGGGGAACAGTCTTCATTAAGTGCCTGCAGTCTAAGCAGGCCAGTTCCTGTTCCCATTGATGCAATGTTCATGTGGGTGGCTGCCTCCTGGTGAGACAATTAAAGCTTCAATTCCTGGCTGAAGAAGTGGATCACGATGATGCCATGCCGTTGACAGTGCTGTTTTCTGTGCTGGCACTGTCCCTGTCCCTGATCGAGAGAACACCCGAGTCTATGGGGGAGGACACCGTCCAGTCCATTAGAGAGGAGGGAGTTGCGTCTGTGGAGGCTGAATCTGTGATGGAAGATGGTACTGAATCTAAGACGAGGCGAGCGGCTGATCGTGGTTCAGTGTCTGTGACAGTCAGAGTGGTTGATTCTAGAGTGGAGCTACGTGCAATGTCTGTGACGGGGAGAATGGAAGGAGACTGTGCTGCATTGTTGACTGTATTTATGACAGCGCGAGTGGAAGAGTCCTCTGAGTCAATGCATGGAGGAGGTGTGTTTGGAGGTAAAACGTATTTTTCTTCAACGCAGGGAGAGGTAGAATCTAACTGAGGTGGCCGGGAGTCTATGAGAAGGAGGGTGGGTTGATCTCTTACAGAAGGAGGAGATAAATCCTCATCTCCTCCATCCATAGGAGAAGGAGGACTGTCTCTTATGGAAGGGGGAGAAGGAGAACCCGCTGAAGTGGCGTGAGTATCCTTGAGCAAAGGCGGGTCAGATGTTGTGCTTATATTTTCGATGTCATTATCCAGCGGGTTCGGAGATTTTAAAGTGGAGCTCGGTGGGGGCTCGATGATGGGCGTGGTGCAGATCAGCAAAGAGGAGGGTACAGTTTGAGGGACGGGGGGAGTGGAAGAATCCAATGAAGCAGCAGGTGTCATTTCTGCTTCTCCTGTTGGGGATTCACCACTGTCATTCATTTCAGGTAGGGATGAATCTAACAGTGGTTCCACAGACTCCAGGACGATTGCAGGAGGTTCTTCTGCAGCAGCTAAAAGTGGGTCTGTGACACACGGGGCTTTGTGTAAAGGAGTGGAAGACAGCAGGTGCTCTTTACTGCCCTGTGTGACGGCGTCTTTACCCAGTGTCATCATGTTGCCCGCAGATGAAGATGAAACCGAGTGACCGTTGGGATCTTTAGGGCCAGCCACAAAGGAGTGCATCTCGATTAACTGCATACCTCCAGTCAAATCAATAGCTGAAGAGGCAGTAGAGTCCATGATGATGATGGGCGCTTCATGAAGTGGTGTGTCACGCACTCTTGTGTAGTCCCTGGTGCTGTCAGACGTGTGCAGCAATCCAGGTTTCCTCGGGGGAAGCAGGGGTGGACGGGTGTAGTTCTCGACATCAGCCAGGGTCTCGGGGAGTGGCTGATTGCGCGTTTCAGGCAACAGGAGAATGCAGATAATACAGATGAGAGTGCAGCAGGCAAAAATTATGTGATGAAGGAAATAGCCCTTCTGATTGTGGAGTTCCATGATGGGTTCAGTAAGCATGCCAAAGCCAGCGCTGGCCAGGACCAAGCCTAAACCACCACCCCTATGGGAAGACAGAATATTTATTAGCTTGTAATATCAATAGAAAATTGGGATGACCTCACAAACCTTTAAAACCTCTCACAAATATTGAAATTACTGCAATTTAAGTGAATCACAACCTGCACGTTGTTCTGGAAAGCTAAATCTGGTATTTAAAAGCAGTTTTGTTTTACCCTCCTCTTCTTTTCTGCCTTTTTCCCGAGGAGCAGCAGAGAGTGCTGCAGCACCGTCTACACCCTCTACTCCATGTTCAAATTCGCTTTCCTGTCATTGCCAAAGTTGGCCACTAGATGGTGCACTTCACACATTGTTAGCAGAGCAATGCTTTAAAAAAAAACTATATTTTTATACATCAAGTGCTGTGTCACACATCCTCAAAAGGCTAGAT